TCGAGATCTCTTCCAGCTCATAAAAATGTTTTCTCAAAAATCTATAATCAAAATGCTAACATCCACTTTTGCAAAATCCAGCGAAAAGGTGGGTGTTACTATTTTGGTTATAGATTTTCTAGCTAACATTTTTTCGAGCTCGGAGGGATCTCGAAATGTTCAAAACAAATTTCTCTTCAATTTGAAACGTCGCTCAACTCTCCACGACATTTCCTTTCTGAGTTATGATCAAAACAAAATGAGCAAAAATGTAACGCTGTGACACTCTGCCGCTAGCGTTACATGGACAAGCCGAATAATATTCAAGCTGAGTTTTTCGAAATTCAACCTTCGTTGTAGATATGGTACAATTAATTCATCATAAACAATTGTCATTAATTCACAGTAACGTCCATCAAGTATATAAAGACAGTCGGAGAACGACATCAAACGGATATGCAACTCTACGAGAGTTGATGAATTAATAACTGGATGTGGATTTACAAATGATAATCGTCCATTCCAAATTGAAGGTGCACAAAAATTAAAATATTGTAAATTGTAAAACGTTGTAAAGATAAGTGCAAATATTTATGGATTCGTATGCTTCGTTGAACTTACTTTTCCATGTGTAGTATGTTTGATCACAAGCTCTAAGATTTAATTTTTATCTATAGAAGTTAAGGAAGATTAGTCTAAATAAAAAAAATACAAAGTCATTGAAACACATTTTTATTAGGTTTTATATTGATTATAAAATCAATCTATTTATCTTTTTTTTTTCGTTTTAACAATTTGATAATGTACATGTGTGATCTTTTTTCTTTCAAGTTCTTTAATAAATTTTATTGTATTCCCAGTGAAAAACATTTGCTTCGAAGAACGGGAAAGAACACGTTCCATAAAACTAGAAGCTCTTTTTTTCTAAGAAAAGAAAGCGTTCCAAAGTAGAATCCGCAAGAAAGCTTTCAAATTCTAGAAGAATGGTTTCCTATTTGAGAAAAACAAACTCAATGTTTTCGAAGGCATTCTTGACCTTTCCAACTCGGAATGATAGATAACGCATTCCACTATTATATGACAGAGTTCTAAACTATTTCCCAAAACAAAATGCTATCCAAAAAAAGATTTTCAATTTTTCTGAACCATATACATTCATAGTCTCATTTATAATCTTCTTACAATTCTTTCCTACTGTCTGCAAATACCCTTTTCTCTAATTAATTCGTTCAAGGTTCGAACACATGACTTTCTACTTACAAAGCCAACTTGTTATACATTAGACTATTTGAACGATTGAAACTACAACTTCTATTGAACGAAACAGCATACAATGTGAAAATATTTAATAAATTATTTAAACCATATCTCTTTAATTTATCAACAAAATCATTGTGACTTAGTTTTAAATGTTTTCTTCATGTGACAAAATAACTAATATTAAGAAATACTAATGTGTTGTTCTAATATATTTATATTTAGATATCCTTATTTTAAAAAAAAAAAGAATAAAATAATTTCATTTTTCTTTATTTTATACTTTCAGGTGATTTTTAAAATTTTTTCTGGATTTTGATTTCATTGAAAATTTAAATTCTACTTCTTTCGTTTGCAAATGGTGAATGTATTAAAAGATGAAATTGAATGAAAAAAAAACCATTGATATTTGAAAACCACAATTTTTGTTTTTATAAAACTAGGACAAAGAAGAAATTAAATATCATTTATTTTTCACAAAAAAGACAGAAAAAAATTTTAAAAAAGGTAGAAGTTTTTTCCTGAATAAATATTTTTAGAAAAGATACTTTTTAGACGACTTAACTGTCAATTAAAGATCCGAGGCAAGCGCATGATCTTCTATTTTTAGTGGATCTGTGTATCTCCTTAATAAAAATACTGCCAATTTTCTTAGATTAAATTGATCTTTTTTCTTCTATATGCAAAATTAAATCATTGTGACTCATTTGATTGTCTAAAACTTCATTTTTAGTTCAGCAAAAAATACTCAACAATTTTGGTCACGGTGCAGAACGTGTTCTTTTCTTTGTAAGAACAATATTCTATTGTCAGGGTACGTCTCAAGAACTTGAAAAAGTCATTCTTAAGTGTTTCTCTAGAGAAAGTCAAAGAATATTATCTTATTTGGAAACAAAATCTTTTCGAAACGTATTGAAAAAGAGCAAAGTCGAATACTTTCATTAATTATTGGAGCATCTTCGGAACCTTTCTATTCAGAAAAGAACGATTTCAAAGGAAGAAGAAAGCCTTCCGTGATATGATGGAACATGAAAGAATCCTTTCCTTCATTTATAGGACATATTCTAGCTAGATCAGAGCGCATTCTCCAAACTATGGAACGCGTTAATGGTAAAAAAGATAGCTTTCATGTTTTGATGAGTGCATTCTCTCCCGTTTTTTTCCAAAAAAATTTTCACTGGAATTATTGATGTTGTTTTATTTTAGTCATTTATTTTACTCCAATTACGGTTTCCTTGTATTGTTTTCCTACTACTAATTTATGTCTGTCAGTTTGTATTAATAAAGTTCAGAAATATTTTATAGCAAAAAAGATATGTAATAAACTAAACCTATTTGTATAAATTAGATATTTAAAATCATTTTGATTTGAAAGAATCGAAAAAATATCTTATCAATAAAGAGAGACAGCTGTTTCTATCTGAATATCATATAAACCAAGTCCATATAAATTCGGATAATTTGTAGCAAGAAGAATATGTTTCATAGATGACGATTCAATAGTAAGCCATTTGATTTTATGATGAGTTTCAGGTAAAATTTGTAAACGAAATTGATCAAGTATTGGATCAAGTAATGGATCGATGAAATCATCTGAGACACATCTCATCAATGTTAAGTGACTTGTAAAAATCGGATCATGTACAATTGCATGAAGTCGTTTGTTAACACATATTAGAGAATACAATATTTCGACATTGAACAATTTTTTCAAAATAATCATAAGAATCTCATCAGGTAAAGAATTTAAAGCAACGGATGAATGTTCCATATTTATTTTAACTGATCTATTCTTTTCGTTTATAAATATGAATATATATATATATGTTATTTGTTCATTTTCTCTATTTGATCGCGTCGTCATTCATCACTGATGAAATCAATGAGACATTTTTCTAGAATCAGAATTCACGACGAATAGACAAATGAAAAAATGGCATTGTTTCTTTTTTGTCCTATATGCGAAAATGAATGCTGGCAACGTCTTTTTATATCTATAAAATTGCTTTATTTTAAGAAATGCAATGTGCAGTGTATTCATCACGCTTCATTATCATGGACGAACTTCGTCTCTGTGACATTAAATGAAGAAAACCATACATAAAGTGTTATAATGATAATTAACCATATGGAAAAAGAATAGTCAAGTCACAATACCAAGGAGAAAGAACATTATTAATAGTAAAATCACATTGGCATTATAAAAGATAATCAGAGTGTGAGTGTGGATGCATCTTCTCTTCACAGCATTCGCATCCACCCTTACCTGTTCGCTTGTGAACAAAGTCAGAACGTATCGCATGTTCACAACGCGACAAGGTTCTGTCGGTAGTCGAAATGGCTCATCAATCCTTTTCTCTTGTAGATTTAAGCAGAAGTGACATTATATTTAGATATTTCAAATTTCGCTTTGCTTCATGATGTGTATTAAACATTGTATTGTTCAATATTTAGGAAAGTAAAAACTGTAAGAACAACACAAAATAGTCGATCGATAGTTTCAACGCTTAGTCATCGCGACGCACACTATCATCGCTTTTGTTATTTATTCTTTGAAACATTGGGTGAAACGTCAAACAACACCATAAAAAGTGTAAAAAATTGTACTACACATAAACATTCAAAAAAACATCATGTTTTTTCTTCTCATCGTCATACTGTACTTTCTCTACTGTGAATTCTATACCAACACTCAGGAGTATTTCTTGTTGATTTGTGCGTTTCAAAGAAATATCAATATCAATGGAGCGCTTTTCTTTTTCATAGACTTTTTTCAGCTCCATAATGAAAAGAGTGTTCGTGCCAAAACTCTCAGCAAATTCACGACTTGCAGTTGTTGAAGTAAAACTCATCCATTGAAGTGTTGTATTATCGTCTGCGGATCGTTTGTAGAAATCAATATCCGACTGAATCAAATTCATACCATGATATACTGTTGTGCTATGCACTTCAACAGTTGATGGCTCATTAAATGTAAAATAGAGTAGACGAACAAATGGTCCATATGTAACAAGCTTTTCCTTATTTGCCTCACGTAAAAATTTGTTCATTTCTGAGCGGAGAAATGTTTCCATTGTATAGAGATGTAGACAGCCATCTCTAACTTTTTCAGGACTTGCATCAATTAATTCATACAATACTCCCATCATACTTTCAGATTCTCGGAATTTGAAAAGTTTGCTGGTCTCCGCTTCTATCCCTGTGATTAACAGTTGAATTTCTTTGTTAGTATCAAGATTTTCAACGAAATCGCGTGGGTTAGGGGGTTCGTTTCTGAAAAAAATTGCCAATAGTGGATTATAATATTTTTAATATTTTAACTTCAATATTACCTGGGGAGTATTTTCGTATTATCTATCATGGACAAGCATTCGAGAATGATTGAATCATATCCTTTTGCCGCTACATTATTGACGATCTTATATTTCGGCAAGTCATACTCAGTGAATCGAGCAGAAGACTCTGTTGTCTCAGATTGATTATTTACAGTGCTTGATTGCACAACCATTGTAGAAGATGGGGACGGATTATAAACCGATCGTCTAAAATTTAATTGAAAATGCTTAGTACCCAGAAATGTCATGAAACGACTTCCATTAACGAGACAGGGTGTGGGTGTGGGTGTTGGTGTGGGTGTGGGTGGGGTGTGGATGTAGTTGAAGAGAAGACGCACACCCACACCCAGCCCCACCCCAAACGTACACCCACACCCACCCCCACCCCAAACGTATACCCACACCCACCCCCACCCCAAACGTACACCCACACCACCCACACCCACACCCTTTGTGTGAGTCGTATTGAGTGAAACTCCTTTCGCCGCACCCTCACCTGCGGCGCTAGTGGGCGTGTAGTTCGTGTGAGTCGTATTGGGTGAAACTCCTTTCACCGCACCCTCACCGGCAGTGCTTGTGTGTGAGTATAGTGTGTGTGAGTGGTACAAGGTGAAACTCCTTTCGCCGCACCCTCAGCTGCGGCAATTGTGTGTGGGTATAGTGTGTGAGTGGTATTTTGTGAAGCTCCTTTCGCCGCACCGTCATCTACGTCGTTTGAGTAGTTTAATTGTTGGGTGGTTGAATGTTTGAAAAGTTGATTTGGAATTGTTGAATAGTGGAATACTTGCATGCTTGAATAGTTAACCTTGATTAGTTGAACACCTGAATACTTGAAAACTTGAACTCCAATAGTTGACTACTTGAATCGTTGAATATGGGAATAGTTGAACTTGTATACTTGAAGTTGAATAGTTGAACACTTGAATAGTTGAATACTTCAATACTTCAATAGTTGAATACTTGAATACTTGAAGTAATAGTTGAATTCAAGTTTCAAGTATTACATGTATGTCAATGATAAGAGGATACTCGCATAAAAATGAGAGAAAAAAGATAGAAGCCTAAATAGTCAAAAAAAAGTTGATAGAAGTCTTTTATATATGGATGCTCACCACACTTCATAGTTTTACCTAATTGATCTTCGATCTTAAATAATTGATCATATTAATTTATTTGAAACGGAATATCAATAGAGACTCTTCAAACAGGGAGATTACTCCACACCATTTTATTTATTAACCATTGAATATATAATGAGAACACGTTTATATCTCGCTAGTGAATATAGTCTCAAATTTATATTCATCTATAAGATCACATTCTAAATGTTTGAGATGATGGAGTGTTCATCAAAATAATGGTATATTGAAGTAATGTGCCTAGAATACCATATTGTTATACACTTTAATTCACAATGCAGGATTATCGATGTATATTCAATAGACAATGATCAAAAATAAGAGAAACGAAAAGCTCAACAACATCAAACATTCAAAACATAATTAATGTTCAATTTGATATCGAAAAAATTCAATAATTGTCAAAATTATGTTGTCAGTTTAACATGTTGAATCTATTCGAGAAACTATTTGAAGTTTTCTCTTATTATTGATAAGCTTGCAAAAGATGTCACTTTTCTAAATAGATGAAATTAATATTCATTTGTCAGGTGGAAGAAAAATTGTACAAAGAGAATCTTTTTTTCTTATTTTCAAAGTCAATATTCAATTACTTTTTTCGAAAATTATCAAACTATAAATAATTAAAATGATATCATCTACTTGATTTTTTGTTTATAGACTAAAGTTATTTTCGATTGATAAACATTTATTTCTAATTGAAAACAATTCAAATGAGAAAAAATATGAGTCTTCGTTCATAATCCAAAATATATTTTATATTTTTTCAATAGAGAGCTATAGTAATAATTATTGAAAAGTATTTAAAGATAAACCTACTCATTTTTTATGATATTATTACCAATTAAAGAAATTCATCCGTTCGTGACTCGTGCTGTCGACATACAAATTGATCTATTTGCCAAAACTACGTAACAACATTAGTATGTTTCTCAGTTTTTCAGCTAATGGAATAAAGCTATAAAACAATTAACAAGATAAATATAAAAAAAATCATTATTTGTTGATTGTTAATATTTATTGATTTGTTCAGAACCGTTTACTAAGACATAATCAATAATTCAATGGTAATAATAAAATTATGTCAAGTGATATGAATGCTACTAGAAATGACTTTCAACAATATGCATTTTCAAACAACTAATTACAAGAAATTAATAGGACTAAGTACGGTTCATAGATTTACGGTCGATTATAAAAAAAACTACCGTCATATTTTAAAACACAAAAGACTCCAATTTAAAAAACAAACTAGTTCAATAATGATTGCAATTACGATGCTCAGCAACTTTTAAAGCCTGCCTTAATGAAAGAAAGATTCTTGAAAACAATTCTTTTTTAACTTTTTCTATAAAATGATTCATTCTGTATTTCATTTGTTTCTCTCATATTGTACTGTAAAACTTTATACAATTCAAAGATGATAGCACGTCCAATAGTCTGGGTTCGATTGTAAAATCTCTATACTCTACATGAAAAGCTTCCGGTCGATATTCGTCATAAATTGAATACTGAATTTTGCACGAGCAGCAATAACAACAATTTGTTAATCTAAAGTGATTTTAACGATCAGAATAGTGTAATACAGAAAAAAGAAATCAATATTGTATATGAAACGAATTAATATATGAAGTTGAAGAATGTTAGTTAAACTTTCAGAGGTTTTTCATGCACATCTTGATGATTTTGTTTTTTCAATAATTTGGATAATTTAAACATAAAAACGATTTCGACAATCTAAGAAAAGACATTTGCATGTGACTAAAATAAAGAATGAAAACTTTCCATACCCAAGCAATCAAAACAATGAAGACAACAATGGACATCGCTTTATCAATCAGGCTTGAACTTGTTGATACATAGGTATCGCCATTACCGCCAATTTTTGCCATTTTATAAAAAAAAATTATCATTAAATACACCGTAGTAATAAATAACATAATGAGCGAAGCGAGTTTGAACCATGCAAACTAACAGAAGAAAATTCGTATTAAGAATGACTAGAAGATGTTTACATACGATTAGTATGCCAATACGATCTCGTTTGATTACAAAATAAAGAATAAGTACGTCCAGCAAGATCTCAACATAAGCTAGTAAAATGAAAGATATTCTTTAATTTAAAAAAAAAGAAATTATTCAAGATGTTCAATACAATCAAGTTTAAAAAAAAATCACTACGATATAACTGCGATTATGTGATTTAGTGATCTAGATTTATAGAAAATAAATCAGATTCAATACCATTATTATATTTTTACAATAAATTACGAAGTCAATTCAAAGTGAAAACAATAATATTTCGGAAACAAAAAATGACTCACTTGCGTTAAAATTTTCCACTAGTTTCTCTTCTATTTCTTCGTTAGTTCGATCAATCATTTTACTCCTTGATTTATTCATTCCTGAAGATATGGACTTCGGGTCAGTTGCCATATAAACAACCATAAAATTTATGAATATGCTTGCACCCTATGTATACAAATAAATAGACTAAATTCAAATCAAAACTCCTCGAAAAATGTCTACCACGCAAATGTATATTAGAATGATTAATTTTTTTCGTTGTATTTCGATTCTTATATTGGCATCATTTGGATTTTGAAAATTCGCCATTATCAAGGTTTTCAGATTAATAATCAGGCTATGCGAATGATTGATTTCGTCAAGTTGATCAACCAAGTAAATGTTAATCTATGTATGTCTGATCGAAAGAAAAATTTATGATAATGTTCGGAAATCAGATTCGGATTTCATTCTAATTTTTACTGTCAAACTTCAAATTCGAATGAAATTAAAAGCGTCATCTTCAATTTTCAAAATAAAGTCTCGTATATGCTTTCGACTTTCTCCATCACACACTATCAGAACGAAGGAAAAAAGATATTTGAAATACGTACGTTTGAAAATTGAAATTTAATTTGTCTTTCATTTTTTTCTTACTTCAACATTGTTAACACAAATTAGT